TTAATGAGTTTGTGCTTTTTATTCATAGACCATTTTATATATGTTAGTTTTTTGTTTTTTTTTTTGCACTGCAAGTGTCTTCAAGGAAGTCATTCTTTTATAGTAAGTCTTAACAGTTGACGTTTAACTTTTTTTCATGAAGAAAAGAAATGATTGCTCAGCAGCGTGAATATAAAAAGAAGAAAGCTTTGAAAAAAGCTCAGAGAATAAAAGAACTTGAGCAGGAAAGAGAGGACCAGAAAGTGAAATGGCAACAATTCAACAACAGAGCCTATTCTAAAAACAAAAAAGGCCAGGTTGGTAAATCTTTTTATGACACCTCATAAATTTGAGAAATACAGCTGTCATTAAAATAACTTTAAAATGAAGAGAGAAGTATGTAGATTTTTTTAATAGTATGATTAACACATTTTATGTTGAGACTCCTTGTTGATGGTCAATTTAGCTTATTGAAAAATGTTAGGCATTGTCTCTGCAATAAAAATACTAGAAATGAGAGAATTTACATCAGGAATTGCAAAAGATCTATGTTCTTTTCCTTTTATAAAATAAAATTTGAAAAAATACTTGCTACATAGAGGCAGTGTGCTTAACTTGACCTGCTTTTGTTAATATACCTTGATGCCGGGCATCACTGGTAGATTTTATTTAAAAGAGCATTCAATTTCCTTTGATACCCTTACCTTTCTAAGTGTGTGTTGGATAGAAAATAACCATAGCATTCATATAGGAAGTTCAGAATAAGGAAAAGACTTGCACCCATGTGTTACTCTTCACTGCCATCAAGGTAGCCCTTTGACTGATGGACATGGCTTCTGGAAAGAAGCGCTTCCTTTTCAAAAAGGAGTTAACTTTGTGACAAAGGCCAAGGGACTTCACAATTTATATATTGTAACAGGCCCCACAGTAAACTGCAATACCGCCAGAGTTTTAATCATGCTAAAATGGACAGCTTACAGCTGAAATTAGGATTGGAGTTTGCAAAACTAAAATTGTGAGATATCAGAAGGCAAGTGTTATGAGTATTAGTAAGTGTCTAGTGATATTTTGAACAACTTAGAACTTTGAGTAAATGGCTTTTAGCATGGGACCACTTCCGTATCCATTTTTTAACACGAAACAAAGGCAATATGCTTTTCTTTTTTTAAACATTGAAATCAGAATATATTTTAACATTACTTAAAATTTGAATTTTTAAATTTTTTCAACACTCTGTTTTTTTTTCTCCTAGGTAAAGAGGAGTATTTTTGCTTCACCTGAGAGTGTGACTGGCAAAGTTGGAGTAGGAACTTGTGGAATTGCTGATAAACCTATGACACAATATCAAGATACCTCTAAATACAATGTCAGGCATTTGATGCCTCAATAATCAGAAAAACTGTTGGATCTCATCTCTTCAGGGCTTTACATTTACCTTTTTATCCTTATATTTTTCTAAAGGTAAATTATTTGTTAGATGAGTAAGCAAGATACCATTGTCGTCATTGGTTGACTTCAGTAGAATGAAACGTGAAGAAATTGCAATTGATAACCGGTATTCATTTAACTTTTCTTCTTGCTACTACCACAGTTCCCTCAAAGTTTGTTGAATAAAGCAACTTTTGTAGATGCTGCTTCATACAGCACTTAGATAACTGTTGATCGTCCTAATATCAGGCCCCCACTTAACCTATGGTATGTACTTTTTGTAAGTTGTAACTTGGAATTTTCAGATGCTTTGAACTTGACACATACTCTAGCAATTCATTGGAACACCAAGGCAAAAAACACCAACCTGCTAAAGAGATCCTTTCATTTTTCTTACTTTTAATTTTAAAACTTAGCTGTCATTCAGTTAAGCCTAAATATAGGTTAATTTGTAAATGGCAAAGTTTGTTTTGAGGTTTTTCCTCAGTTGTTTTCTAGGCCTATTGGGCCATATCTAAAATTGATCTAGCTCTTTTATTTTTATGTACTCTTAGTTTCATGTAAGAAACCATGTTTAGGATGAGCTCCCTTTTCTAAGGTGTTTTTGTTTTTTGTATGTTTGCTTTTTTCCTTTTTTTCCCGCCCCTCCCCCCCCCATTTTCGGCAGTGGTACCATGTTTTGGATGTGTAATGTTTATATGGGAGAACAAAAAGCTGATGTATAGCCCTGTATACAGTGTAGATACTATTTTTGTAAAAACACAAGGCTAAATTAATGAGCAAGAGTACTGAATGTTTTCATCATTAAATATTTCTCGTATTTCTTGTGCATTAATCTGACCATAATTTCCCTGTATATTATGTTCATTTAGCCGAGTTTGTAATTTTTGTTAATTAGATCAAGTTGTCTGCATTTGTTGGTGTAAGTGAACATCACGGTTATCCTGAGTTGAGTTTAAGCCAAATACATGCATAGAAAAGGGTCTTCCTTTATTAATGGAAGAAGGTGATTTTTAGGATGTGTATTAATTTCAGTTTTGTATGTTTAACTTTTATTAAATAAAGTGTTTTTAAAATCTCTAGGGTGTGTTAAAAAGAAAGGGTTAAGTCTTTAGCTGCCAGACTTAGAGAGTAAACCTCCAAGTACTTGCACACAGCATTGCCATGGAAGAGAATATTGATTGTGTGATAAAGATTTCAGTAAATCCTTAAGTATTCCTTCCATTAGAAGAAATTGGATCCTAAAGGACAAACCAGGTATGTGTTTATAGGATGTCTTCATTTTAAGGGGTGTTTGTAGGTTTTTGGTGGAAGGGGAAAATAAGTTTTTATTTCATGAATTTTAATTTTTTTAATAAATTGAAACTTAGGACAGTGGTAGGTAGAATTCTTCATCTCTCCCTTCCACCCTCACCCCCTCTCAACCCAGGAGGGTCACTGTTCCATATAATTTGTGGCCACAGGGTAGGACACAAACGACAGAAAGGCACAAATTAAAGTAACAAAAGGGCTCCTGGAAGCCTGAAAACTTCTAAACCAAATATACTAATACTTTGTTATTATTGCAACATCTTAAGAGCTTATCAATAATCAAGAGTAGCCCTGATGGATTGCAAGATAATCCTTTGAATTAAAAAGCACTGGAAAGAAATATGATGCCATTGTGTGACCCCAGAAAACGGTTTTTCTTGAGATTACCTTGGTGGTGTTTGAATGAATAGTAATTCACCTGATGTTTGTAAACAGTCTTGTTCAGGCATCCCCAAACTACGGCCCGCGGGTTGTATGCCACCCCCTGAGGCCATTTATCTGCTGCCCGCCCCACTCCCCGCTGCACTTCAGGAAGGGGCACCTCTTTCATTGGTGGTCAGTGAGAGGAGCACAGTATGTGGCGGCCCTCCAATGGTCTGAGGGACAGTGAACTGGCCCCCTGTGTAAAAAGTTTGGGGACGCCTGGTCTTGTCCCTCTTTTGACCCTGGAGGGGGACCTTAGTTTCCCCAGACGACTTTGCAATAGGAGAGAGAAAAGGAATAAAAGTGGCCTTATTAAAAGAAAAAAAAGTTTTTAAAGTAGACATATAGAATGAAATCAACCCTTGTGTCAAAGATTTAGATGTAACCCTTTGGAAAATCCTCGTGTCAGGATGATATTTGTGTCTGAACTAAACTAAGAGGTAGGACCCCTGGGGAAACAGTACCTGTCAGTGTGATACTGAATTTGAGAAGATGCTCAATGAGAAGTATGGTACAGCTCTCTATTCTAAAACAAAATATAAACCTTGGCCTTACAAAGCTTTGTTAGATCATTTAATGTAGAGTTTTCCCCATTAAAAAAGGAGATTGTGACAGACTGAAATGTTAAATATTGAATTATGGGCCCCTAAGTAGAAATGGTTTTAGGTAACTTAAGCTTGACATTTAACTGTTGTTGACCGTTTTAAGGAAAGCACAGTCCTAACATCCCCCAAATTAATAACCAAATGTTTAGTTTTAGTAGTGATCACAGGTAACAAGTGCTGTTTTAATTACCATGTAGAGAGGCCACAGAGCATATTGGAAAACAGCAAGGACTCTAGAATCAGACTAGTGTTTGAATACTGGCTTCCCATTTATTAACTGTGTATTCCTCTGACTCATTTTTCTCACCTGTAAAATGGAAAAATCTGTTTCAGTTTTAAGGATTGAGTTCATATGTGTAAAGAGCTTAAGAGTATCTGGCATAAGCATATAGAAGTGTCTGCTATTAGTCTGCAGAGTGGCAACGGTGAATTATCTGATATTTTTTCCTTAACTTGCAGAGCAGTCCACATTAACAATGGATAACAATACCCATTGCTTATGTTTTGAGGCATCCAATTGAAGTGTTACCAAATTACCAAGGTGTTAAGATATATTTAGTATTCCTAAAAGTTTGAATTGATTTTTATACCTAGGGCATGTTTCTTAATGGGAAGGAGGTGAAGGTTATAGTAGAAGTCACCCCTAATGCTTGTTTAAAATTAAAGAGGAATTTGTGGGCTTGGGACCAACCTTAGACTTATCCAGGCCAAGGTATGTCTGTCTGACAAACACTGTGGGTGATCCTGATGTGCATCCCTGTCAAGAACTGTTTTGTTAACTATAAAAGTTTGACTTTTGAAATGAAGAAAATTACCTTTTAGCCTAATTATAAAAACTAGGCATCAAACCAAAACAAGTTGCATCAGTAATGTAGCAGTACATTTTTTTAAAAAAATGTTTGTTGTCACGAGTGGTGTGTATGTGTGTCTGTTTACGGTGTGCAATTCTAATGCTGAATGTCTGCCTTAAAAATAGCAGGGGAGACCATCAGGTTAACATAAAGGAAGATTGTAGTTTTGTGACTCGTGTGTCTATAGATTGTAATTTTATAATTATAATTTTCATAAGGTAAAAACTACCAGTTGTAAATTCAATGAAAAAACTGATATTTAAAGCTTTGATTTAGCTTTTTTGCCTTAACTTGGGTAGTAACTGAAATAGGAAGAAAATCTATTAAAATCAACAAGATTTTATATTTGTTAAAATCTTGAGGATTCAATAAATATCTGCTGAATTAAGTAATACTATGAAGCAATCAGTATAAACGACAATTTACAAGTTCAACAGTAAATGTACATTCTTTGTATCTAGGATTTTTGAGTTGCAAGTTAAACTGAATTTTTACTGCAGTGGAGAGGAAGAGCACAGCAGACAAAATAACAGGTAATACTGTAGTTTAAACAAACAGAAAAACCCGAGTAATTGGCGCATTTAAAAGGCCTGTGTATATGTATAGTTATGTGCTTAAGAAACATCTTAAGAGGTTCAGAAATCAGTTTTATAGGTGGAACATTCTAATGATTTGTTTTGGCCTAGCCAAAAGTAAGTAAAACAAAATGGTGTTAGATTTCCGTGAGGTGTTTCAATTGCCTTTTCTGCCTTTCAGCTTACCTATACAAAGGTTGTTCTTTTGTGGCCTTGATTGGGGTAAAGCATAATTAAGAACAACATGGGTTTTTTGGTAGCTAAAGTAGCTAAAAATACTAAGTTTGGGATATTTAATCTTTCAGTTCCCAGGCAATAAAAACTGGAAATTTACTTCCACCACATACCAGGTCATTTAAAACAAAACTAGTATAGTCACTGGAATTATTTAAACTGTAATTTGTTTCTCCACTTAGTCTTTTTTAAGAATTCAGCCGAAAGCTATGGTTACACTCATTAGGAGGAAAGTGTGGCATTTTGTTTGAAGAGCAACTTTCTCAACTTGGGGCTGAAAGTTATGGTGGTTGTTTTGCCAGCTCAAGATTTCCCTTTCCTTGGTGAAACTGATGTGCTTCTGTTTTTTCCCCCTTTCAAGCCCTGTACTTACTTTAGCAAGATGCAGTGAATTTGTGACCAGAGAAACAAATAATTCAGGCTTGGAGGAAACACTTGACTATATCCTGGGAAACTAGAGTTGAAGCCTGAGATCTGAAACTAGGCTAGTAATCATTTTAATAGATGGCAACTATTCAATTGTTCATTGCTCAGGAGTAGCAGGAAGGAGTAAGTATCCCTTTAATTCTTTTGCCTGGCCTTTTCCCCTCCAAAATAGCCCTCAGGTTTAATTGAGGTGGCTTTCTAAGTGTGATGAAGCTGCTACTTTAGAAACCACTGATCTTAAATTTATATTCTTTGTATAATTTTAAAGGTACTTTTATAGGTTTCGTTATATTTTTACAATGCTATTCTGTGCCCTGGTGTGAGCATCTAAAATAAATACCTCAATTATTACCCTACTAATAAAGATTTTTAAAGCATTCCCCATGGCAAAGAGCTATGAGCTTGAGGATATGGAAAAATTCCAAAACTACAGCAAGTTAGTTGGCAGTACCTTAAAATAACTTCATTTAAAGCTGTTTTCTCTAATTTATGACTGTATAGAAAGGTAGGACAGGAAGTGGTCAGCCAGTACGTTTTTGAACTGTGCTATTTAAAACAATCTAACATATTCTGCACCAAAAAAACCACAGCAGTTTCCTATTATATCTGATATATAGGAAAGGAGATAGCTGCTGATTCTCTCTTCTTGGCAAGGTCAACACTAAATATTAACCTAGGGCACATTATTATTAGTGTATAATATGTTCAACTTGAGGTTAGTCCTTTTTTTTTTTTTTTAGAACAAATCACTAAATCTGATTCTACATGAATCTTAAAAAGCCTTCATTTAAGAAATTCTATAGGCTGGGCACGGTGGCTCAAGCCTATAATCCCAGCACTTTGGGAGGCCGAGGCAGGTGGATCATGAGGTCAAGAGATCGAGACCATCCTGGTCAACATGGTGAAACCCCATCTCTACTAAAAATACAAAAATTAGCTGGGCATGGTGGCGCGTGCCTGTAGTCCCAGCTACTAGGGAGGCTGAGGCAGGAGAATTGCTTGAACCCAGGAGGTAGAGGTTGCGGTGAGCCGAGATCGTGCCACTGCCCTCCAGCATGGGTAACAAGAGCGAAACTCTGAGGAGGCTGGGTGCAGTGGCTCATGCCTGCTATCTCCGCACTTTGGGAGTCTGAGGCGGGTGGATCACCTGAGGTCAGGAGTTCGAGACCAGCCTGACCAACATGGTGAAAACCCGTCTCTACTAAAAAATACAAAAATTAGCTGGGCACAGTGGCAGGTAATCCCAGCTACTCAGGAGTCTTGAGGCAGGAGAATCCCTTGAACCCAGGAGATAGAGGTTGCAGTGAGCCAAGGTCACTGCACTACAGCCTGGGTGACAGAAATTCTACAGGAAATAAAAAGTGACTTCTTATTAAAGCATTACCTACCATGGGATTTTGTTTGAACAAATATTTAGAAATAGTCCTTTTTCTGTAAGATCTAGAGTCAAAATAACTAAAATTCAGGATTAAGGATATATTAGGTTGCATTCATCAGAGAAACACGCACCATCTTCCTAGATGGCAGTTGGCAGGTGGGGTGGTAATTTTTATGTATCAGCTTAAATCCTTACAACCTTTCAAGATAGAGGTAGTACTTAGCTTTTCTGGAGGAAAAAGTTTCCATGAAGAAATTAACCAGGTCAGCAAATGTTGGAACTGAGATTAAAGTGTAATTAAAACACTTGCTTTTCCCACATTTTACTGTTTGGGGTTAACTGTTGGGAATCTGATTTTGGTCAGGAACTTTGCCTCAACAATCCTGCCTTTTAAAATCCTTTCATAATGCAAAAAGCAGTCATTGTCCTGGAGATTAAAAAGGCATTTCTCCAGGAGTTCTCATCCCTTTTCTAAACAGAAACTTGAGTCGCAATGATGTCAGAATCCTTTAGTCATAATGCACTACAGTAGGTTTTACCTGTACCTTTTTGAGAAGGAGTCTCACTCTGTGGCCCAGGCTGGAGTGCAGTGGGTGGATCTCGGTTCACTGCAACCTCCACCTCCCAGATTCCAGTGTTTCTCCTGCCTCAGCCTCCTGAGTAGCTGGGACTACAGCATGTGCCAACACGCCCGGCTAATTTTTGTATTTTTTAGTAGAGAGGGGGTTTTACCATGTTGGCCAGCCTGGTCTCAAACTGCTGGCCTTGAGACCAAGGCCTTGATCGACCTTGGCCTCCCAAAGTGCTGAGATTATAGGCACGAGCCGCCACACCCAGTATCCTATAGAATTTCTTAAATGAAGGCTTTATAAGATTAATGTAGCATCAGTTTTAGTCATTATTTGGTCTTACTATGGTCTTTAGTGATTATTTGGTCTTTTCTATGTATTAGGCGCATGCCACCATGCCTGGCTAATTTTTTGTATTTTTTTAAGTGGATAAAGGAATTTCATCATGTTGGCCACAGTGGTTTCAAACTCCTGACCTCAAGTGATCTGCCCACCTATGCCTTCCAAAGTGATGAGATTACAGGTGTGAGCCACTGCGCCTGGCCTACCTGTACCTTTTAATATAAATGTCACTCAGGTGTTTTATAGGGTACCCCAAATAAGGTTAGCAAAGACTAAATGGGAACTTCCAGACTTGTTTGCAATTTGAATAATACTGTAGCTAAAGGGATGCTCCCAAAAGTTAGAGAACAGATCATGAGAATGGCTTTGTGTCCTACCTGAAGCAGTTAAGATTATTAATAACATGGGACATTAAACCACATTCAATTAGGTTGTATGGAGTTACCAGTCAGACAGGGTCCTGTTTAAACTGCAGAACAAGAATAGCAATTATAATTCAAACTGCCATTTGATTTGGCATTGATACTAATTTGGTATCAACATAGACATTTAGGAGATAGCTACCTCTTAAAAGGTGTAGACACCCAATTCATGGTTTTGCCTTCATAAAGAAGGATGGTACAAAAAGAACTCGGGTATTCTTCATTCACAGTTTTTATTTCTTCCAATTAACTTTTATGTCTTCAAAGTTGATTTATCGTCTTTTAAAAAAGTAATACTTAATACAATCTACCCCACCACCCCAAGGAAGACAAACCCAGGGAAGGAGTAATTTAGGGGGCAGTTAAAATATGCACTATAGATTTATAACAACTGCTTTCCAGCCCATAATCCTGCACATATACAACAAAATGGCAGCACCTCAAGTTTATCTGAATGAAGGCCCAAATAATGCAAGTGAAGGCCATGAGAATAACAAAACAGGACCTTAGTCACTGGCTTCATTTACTTTCCATAGTAGCACAGTCTTCAAACTGTCTCACACTTGGTCAAGAGTAAGCAAATACAGAGATCACATCTCATCTAGTAATAATTATAAGTGAAACTGGAAATAATTTGCCAGGGCCACAGAAATGAATTGTTTTGTCATGTTTTTCATTAAGTCCCTAGCACCTGAAACGTAGCAAGTTCTAATACTGGGCTTCTAAAGGCATGCAGTTTTTCACTCACAACTACTTCAAATAATTTCTTACACTCAAACAGCACAGTCAAGGAAGAACTTCCAGTGGCACAGGAAGAGCACAAGAACAAGTATATGCTGAGGCATAACATATGACCAAGATGGTACACTATATATAGAAGCAGTGAATGCTGTCCCACTCACAAAGGGGTAGTCTAACATTAACACACAACTCAACTGCACTGCTAAATATGGTTGTCTTTATTTTCTTTTTCTTTGCCCAGCCCTATCTAAACATAAAATAAAACTACAGGACTGAAATTAACAATCCATTAAAATCAGCAATAAGTTATGAAAATCATAAAGCTTTTTTTTTTTTTTTTTAAGTAATTAAGGGTAGTTAAATTATTTAAAGTATACAAAGTCCAAACAGCCAGGGGTAAGGTCTCCAAGAAGCCTTCCCAGGGTAAGGGAGAGGACCACAGGGGAACCTTGGAGTTTGAAAGACAAAGGGAACACATGACATCAAAGTGCAGGCTAGAAATTTCACTTAGAAGAAAATAACATTACTGAAAATATTTGTAAGAGTAACAATAGCACCTGCACAGTGGGACTGTGAGGAAGAGAGACACGCCTGTAGGAAAATGAAGCAACAAATCTTTACATTAAAATGAGACAAGTGCCGAACTTAACTATGTTAACTATGATAGTGTGTCTACTATAGATATCAGATGGTTAAAAGCTGGTAAAAGGTAATGATTCTAAAAGAAAACAAAAACAGCATTGACCTTTTTTCTACCTAGCCCAGACCTCATTCATTTTGTGCACTATAAAGAGTGAATTGTGAGGTGTTTTATCATTATCAAATGCTGCATCAAAATAGATGATTTTTCCCCATGTGTTTTTCCACTATAAAAGACATCTATTTTTTTTTTTATGGATAAGCTTTAAAAAGATGTCATTTTGGTTTTCAACACATATAAACAGTTATCAAAATCTGAAATAAAAATGCTGTGGCTCAGACCTTGGCCTGCTAATCTGCGTGCACAACCCTTCTGACCCACGCAGACACAGAGGCACGTGGAGCTTTTCCTTCTGGCCCCCCAATCCATACTCATAGGCCTTGTATGATAGAGGCTGTCATGCATGGACTGCTCCCATGTGGCCTAAGGGCAGCGGGATGGAGAGCTGGCGGTTGGGTGCTCTAGTGCTAACAATGCAGGATAAGGGTAGCTTGCTTAGCATGGAATCCAACAGAAAGCTGAGCTGCATGATGATCCCTTTCAAAAGGCTTCATGGGAGTCTCTCCTTTTGCAGAGCATGAAATGAGCTTTTTTTTTAAAAAAAAAAATAAAGAATTGATCATCCACAGGCTTCGTGATAATTGTCCCAGGCTGTTTTAATAGCTCTTTAGCTATCCAAGATTAATGCCTGATTTTCTTGTCTTTCAATTAGTTATTTTGCTTTTAGGACCATAAAGCTCAGGAAGGGTTCCTAATCCCATTCTTAAGTGTGTCTACTCAATGTAGTATGAGCAAACTAGAAAAGAGAAGAGGATGGCATCTCCAATGTCCTCTTTTCAGCTAACTCAATCAAATCAAAATTTCACACGTTTTCTGCTGCCATTAGAAATTGTAATTTTCCAATATGAATATTCTGAATATTTGTTCTCCTTGGAAGCCTCTGCCCCACTTTTTGCTAAGTATTTGCTTAA